GATATTTTATTTAGTTATTCCTCTGCTCAACAGGGTTCTGGTGAAAAAGCAGATTTTTTCCAAACTGACTGACTGTGGATAAAAAAAACAGAATGTAGAGGGAATTGTGTTATTTAACAAACAAACAAGCAAACACAGATATGAAGACACCATATTGAAGTGAACACAATGTTTTATATACCTTAGATCTGATCTACACTAGCCCAAAAATGTGAAAAAGAAGTAATACAATTAAAGATTTCCTGTTGCGTTTGAACCTGTTCTTGCATTAGGTRACACAAACTGGTATTTTTCTAAACAGTATCTACTGTATGTGATCTCAAGACATTTGAGGAGTTGATGAGTTTACTCAACTTTAATCATTGCATAAATGATTTTCTGTTAGTAGGTTCAGCAAGTTACTATTGAGTCCACTGGCTGATTATCATTCCCATCATCCATTCAGCTGATTTACCACAGGATGATGGTATAATCCTGCAYCTCAATATTCTGATTTACTTCTCAACAGCTGTAGCAAGTGCAAATGATGCATACAGAAACATTGTTCACTTATAGCACACTGTAGTAGTTCGTGGTAAATATTGGAGGCACTATACACTGATCATGTGTACAATGTCAGCGGTACTGTGGAAATCTTTCACTCTTTTTTCCCTTTTTATCCAAACTGCAGCTATGTAAATAATATGTCAAGAAGCATGCTTAGAAGACAAAAGCTCCCAGCCTTCATGAAAAAGAAAAAAAAGTTCACTTTTATTTTTAAAACACCAAATGTATACTATTTGTGACACCTTAGGGTTGCTCCCACATTCCTTATTTTGAGACGTTCTCCCCTTCTAACCTTCCACACCTTATTTTTTTACCAATATTTTATTCACTCGAGCACTTGATCAGTTATGAGTATTTTTAATCTCATACAACATACTTATATTTGTAATGTGGTTTGATGCATGATAATACTTAGTGAAATAAATCTTATGTGATTTTACTCTGATGCAACGTGTGGCTAATAATTTTATAATTGTTTTCGTAAGAGTGTGAGCTTATGTCAGGGGCTTGGTTAGGACAGCTGCATGGTGAAACGATGATCATTACGATGACGTATTAAATAACAGATTTTACAAATGTGATTTAAAGACTTATAAAGCAGACGCTTATATAGTGTGGAACTTTTCCCATAACATATTTGTGGTCGATATTGGAGCATGGACTTCAGCAAGAAGAAACCAGTGTTGTGACGTGTACTGCAGGGGGAAGGGTTTCCCATGAGCTCTGTCCCATGTGTCTTGTTGGACCTCTCATTGACTGGTCGGCTGCTGATCAACCGCTGGGCCCTTAAGCCTGAGGCCATGGTTCTCCACTGAAAAAAAGTGGAAAGCTTCCATCTGGTTGAGGATGAATCCCTGCCGTAGGCAGAGGAGTTCAAGAATCTAGGAATCCTGTTCACATGTGAGGCAACAGGAAATAAATTGATGGATCTGGGCCTTGTCCACAGTGATGAGGGAGTTGCTCTTGTCTGAAGTGTGTTAGAAGRAGCTGAGCCAAAAGGCAAAGTTCTTGATTCATTAATCCCTCTACATGCCAACCCTCACCCATGATCATGAGGTATGAATCGTGACTGAAAGAAGATGATCCTGGATACAACTGAAATGGGATGTCTCTGCAGGGTGGCTGTGTCCATCTGAGGTGGTTCAAGCATCTGATTAGCAAGCCTAAATGCACCCATAGGGTTATTTATCTTTTTTTGGTCTGTGAACATCTTAGGAGGGGCATGAGGGTGTCACAGGGAAGTCTTGGTTTTAATGGTTTTAATTCTTCTGTGATTTAACTACAGATACACAGAAGAAAACAGATAAATGGTGTGGCTTACAAGTGTAAATAAAAATTCATCAGTCAACAATGAATAAACAGTTTACTAGAGGTGTCCCGATACCGGTATCGGTATCGGGTCCGATACCAGCATCAAGTACTCGTACTCGTAAAAGCCGGCCGATACTCTTAACCGATACCGCTTTTGTCCCCTTTTTTGTTCCTCCTGTGCTGCGCTGCACAAAGGGTAAACAACAATCCATACCAGGGGGGGGTGGCGCTAACCACTGACAAGTTATTTCTGACCGCACCCCCGAATAACAGAAGAAGAACGATGAGAAGAAGAAGAAGAAGAAGAAGA